ACCTTCCACGCCTTCTTCTTCCCTATTCCAGAGAAGGCACTTGTAGAGTCGCAAGCAGTCAGTGCATGGAACGATGGAAGACATCTACAAAGAGATTCCCCCAGGGAAGCCTGAGTCTCATGGACAGGTAGGTATCTCAGTCTGTCTTTGACGCCTGTTTTTAACCACAGTTCCTGGCAGTTTAAATCTGAAAAATGTGCTACTGAAAGTACGGCAACATCAGTGTCTGGTGATTGTATCACAATGCGTGGATGAGTGGCTGCAGCGTGTTTGGCATGAAGCAGAAGTCTTGCATCTGCCTCTTCATGATCCGAACGTAGATTTGGCTCAACAACTGCGGAACCACTAGTTAGACACACTGCTTTTAATCCATCCTTGAATCCTTCACCTAGGAGGACCTTCTGCTGAGGTCCTAAATATGCCGATAAGTTCTTTGTTAACGACTCACAGAGAAAGGCGCCTAAGTTTTGTTTGTTCTTTGGGTCTGAGATATATTTTGACCACTGCTTCGGTACTGGCGTGGATCCACTGTGGATGTTGATTTCAAACGAGCTTGATTCTCCTCTCTTGCTGCGTTCCCCTGCCTTAATTGAGACAGGCCTACATTGGTCGAAAATTAGGTCTACTCTGGTGTGACTGTTCTGATGGAATTTACTAGTGACAATGTCTTGGTATTTCTGCGATAACTGGCTAAATGTCACAGACCTTGCTGATTTAACCATCTGAATGAGAGCCATCGCATCAATTAGACATGCTGTAGGGTGCTGTGATGAAGGCAGGCTTGATCTACACGTAACATTGTTTTCAAGGACATGCATTAGGGTGCTTTTTGTCGTCTTCCTGAGGCTGCCATCAGGATGTACAAGTGCGACTGGTACACTGCAAAGTTCATAAGAAAGAACTCTTTTCCTCGCAGCAACCAGAAGGCGACCAAAAAGCTCACGATCAGCATTAACAGTTACAGTCTTATCTTTCTGTTTGCTCACTGCAACTTTCTTTGCCACAGAACTGAATGTTTTAAACTTTAAGCCGCTGGATTGGATCCCAGAAATTGATTTCATTTCTCTGGATTCGCGATGAAAGAAAGGTTTCCATGCTTTTTCTGCCT